TCTCCCCCAAACAAAATTTTAAGCTTCTAATTACCCAGCTCCTCCTATATACGGAGGCCCCTGAGCATTGCTGGAGACAAGAACAGGAGGCAGTGGTTCGCTGACTGGTAGCTAATCTGCATTTTGTCGAAGCAGCAGCCAGCAGAAAGTCCTCTGACAGTGGGATCTCAGGTTTACTGAGCATCTGTCCCATTATCAGGCACATGCCAACTCCAAATCAATTTCTACCCTCTTATCTGGGCTCCCTGACTTGTATGTAGAGCTTAATACCAAGTTGGGGGTCTAACTGCTGAATGACTGTAAATAGTTTTGAGAGTCCCTGCCCCCCCAATCGGAAACACAAAACAACAGTGTCACTTCTATTCAAAGAGGTTGAGTAGAGAGTACAGCTGGAGGGCTGATAAACTAGAACACAGTCTCGGGCAATGTCTCAGGTCTTACGTGTATTTCCCTTCGTTTCCTCAAGTGAACCACGATTCAGTCACAGGATCGGCAGGAGAAACCTATGAAGTATACTCAAGTAAAACGTGTCCATTAGTTTTGCTTCTGGTGACTGGAATTTGCTTGAATTTGGTATCAATGAAAACACTGCCGCTTTAAGCACATCTGAGAAATCAGATTATGAAATCAGAACCCACCTATCTCCTCAGGTACTCTTAGAAAGCAGTGTGTGTCTCCATAAAAGCATGAGGTGAAAAAGACGTGTACAGCATCTCTTTATTTTCTTTACCATTGCTTTAATGCACTTTAAAATTTATCTACATCAATTGGGAACAAAGAAACAAAAATAGACATTTCTTTGTTTTTCATAAATAACTACTCTCCATATATGATAAAAATTTCAAACCATTATTTTACCTTCCCACAAATATAATACATACAAAATCTTTTCTGAAATAAGGTCAGCAAATTAAGTATCTTGAGACTAACATAACCACATACAACTGCTGTTCTACGGACTTCCAGGAACCAAACAAGAAACAAAAACTTCTTAATCAAGATGCTCTGGGTTACCTTTTGTTAATGTTATGGATTCAGAATTATAATCATCTGCCAATAATGATTTATAGATTCAAGTTGATTGTCTCCAAATAGAATACCGCTGGCTCTGACCTGTGAGTTCTGGATCTGACATGACAGTGAGGAGGCATGACAGGCACTATGCGTCCGTGAAAATCAGAAAAAGGACTGAATGTCCTGGACTCCCAACTACTGACTTGGCATGTGCCTCATTTGGCTCAGTAATAAATTCACCTGCACCAAACCCGTATCGAAAGTCACTAAATCTCTCATATATATAATATATATTACGTATATACACACCCAAAACACACACATACTACACATACAGTTTCTAACAACCGGGAGTACTATTGTCTCAAAATGATGTACCGTGGACATGATCCCGCCTGAAATAAATCCTGGGAATTGTCACTGAGCTGCTAGAAGCTTTTAGAGTTCTGAGTCAGGTTACTTAGTGACTTCCATCCTGCCTACCCTTTGCCCCGCTTTAATGTCTTGGTAGCTCTTTCCCCCTCAGAATCACCCTCCCCCCAACTCCAGGCATATTTTCTTTCCAGGATCCCTTGACTGGACTTCGGAGGCAAGAGAAGGCACGCGGAGAGAGGGAGCCGGCGATTTGCAGCCACTGTCCCTCACACCTGCCTGGATTTGTGATGTTCTCTGTCCTGTTTGCCACAGTGGGTGTTAGAAAGCAGTTACTCAAAACTTTGTCCCTCCTACCCCCCTTGGTCTTTCTGTAGAGCCACAAAAGTGAAAGAAGCCCCTTTAGCAGGGGGAGCAGTTCATTAAAATATACAACTACATTTCCTAGCTCTGGGGTTCCCATTCTGTACTTGAGAGTGCAGGTCACCCACACTGTTGTTAAGGTTCAGTGTGGGATCCATGGGGTTTTCTCCTGGCAGCCAGTGTCAGGATTAGTGCAGCCCTGGCCCAGGAGGAAACAGCCTAATGAATATCAACTTGGAAACAGCGCTGTTGGCACATGATTTAAGCTTGTACATGCGCACAATTACACAACACACACACGCGCGCACACACACATACACACAGGCCTGTCGTTGCGAACAGTCATGTGGAAAGATGACAAAGGCTTGCAAAGATAAACCAATAAGGCACCAAGAAAAATTATTTTCAGCCAATTTAGACAACATCAAAATGTGAGGAGGGAAATACTGTAAGTTAAAGAGACTTCCTAAAGTCTGGCTAACCGACTCACTAAGAGGTCACATTAGTTCCTTTCGACAACCCTCTACATCTTCACCCCCAATCTATGACGTGATCCGATGCTAAAAGCTGAACTGTGAAAGGGACCGCCTGGAAGCTGTGCATGCCATTCAACAGAACCATAAATCCTCTTCAACCGCACAAAGCTATCTGTGAAGAAGTTGCTAGACTTCTCCCCCTGCCCCCCAACACACAACCTTTCATTTTTTTTCATGAGTATGGATTGTTTGCATAATAAAAATACAAATTGGGGAAATAGCGTGTGGGATATAAGCAGAAGGTGACCATAAATAGATCTGACCTCTCTCCTCTGGGTCGGGATGGGGTGGTGGGCAGTAGTAAGACCTGACGGAAGCAAGTGGGCTTTTATCCTTGAGGGAAGGGAGACGGAGGGCAGGCGTGAGAACACAGACTGAAAACAAAGGGGCACCTCTAAAATCGGTTCTACAACTAGACCCCAAAAGACATTACCTACATCGCCTCTCCTTGGCTTTGTGTCCTTTGTCAACACCCTTTTTCTGTTTGGTTTTGTTTAATTGGTCAGTCTCTTAGAGTTGGCATGTTGCCAAAATGAAAAAAAAAATTTTTAAAGAGGAATTAATCCACTTTCATCCATTTCATGCCACAACTTTTAGATACACTGCGCATCATTTCCAGATTCCCTCCACAAAGAAAAAGTAAGGGGGACAATGCAAATTAAGTACAATGACTGAAGGCAGCAGAAAAATCTATGTAATTTCGGGGAAGACACCCTAAATGAGGGAAGGGGTCAAGGTGATCACAAAAGGTCCTCATTTGAAAAACAGAAGAATTGGTCCTCAGACAGGGGATCTACTCCAAGGTTCCAAGCCACAGCTTCTGAATAAGGACAGGAATAAGACGTGCAAAGTTCTGTAGTTCTACGTACTAAATTTTGTTGAATCCACTGAAATTTTAACTTGTGCATTTTTATAAACACAAACAGCTTTTGAGAGTCTGCAAAACTACAATACCAGGCTTCTCCCTGCAGCAAAAGGGTTTCAGTTCACTATGGAACTATGCAGGTCTTTCCTTAAAACCCATGAAGTGAAAACTGACCCGGATTTAAACCTTACTTTCCCAACTTCGGTATAAACGAAGCTCAAATGCCCAGTCTCGTCATTTTCCTAGGGAGCCATTCTAAATTTTCCAATTGTTTTTGCTGTTTTAGCTTCCTAAATATAGTCCCCACTCAACCCTGGTCACTGGCATTTTGCAGGCCAATGCACTCTCGCCTCCGTCCCCAAGTCATGGCCTCAGACTCTTCACGAAGGAACAGTTAAACAGATTAGAAAAGCAAACAGAATTCTTTAATAGGAAAGAAATGTGTGTGTGAGTGAGTGTGTGTGTGTGTGTATGTGTGTGTGTTCATACATAGGCCTTCGTATATACGAATGGTTAAGAAGATTTAGGAAAACAAACAGAATTCTCTAACAGCAAAGTGCATGTGTATTTGCATGTGGGTTCATGCAAGTGTGTGCTCATCAATACACAGGTTTTCTCAGGGAAAAAGAGAGAGAGAGAGAGAGAGAGAGAGAAACAAACTGATGTGGGGGAGAGAGGACACCTTTCCTCCTGCAGCAGCAGGACCCTGATCCACCCTGTGTGTCATTTGTTTTGAGAGACTGCAGAAAGCCGTGTTTTGCTGCTTTGGGACTATCTGACTATTAAACTAGTCCAAAGTCCAGGGACACTTATTTTTCCCTCCTTGCTGCCAATGTTTGTTCACAGGTAGCCAGCCTCCCTCCCCCCAGTTCAAGCACCCCATTCAAGGGTGGGTGTGGTTTCTTAATCACAGCTCTCCAGGAGAGGAGGAATAAGAAAAGCTAAAAGACTGTTTAACATGATAAAGGAGGTGGGATGGGTGGAGCAGATAAGAGAAGTGTTGGAAATTTACTTAATTACTGGAGGTATGTTTAGTCCTTAAATCTAAAAAAGCAGCCCCTTTAACAACTATCTCTAAGTATTTCCAGAAGAAGGGAGTGGGGGTTTACTTTGACCAAAATCAGAACACAGGTTCTTTAAAAAAAAAAAAAAAAAAAATTGGGATCACTGAAGCCTATTAAGAACCACCCACTCCTTCTCCAGCACAAAGCTGCCATTTTACCAGTCTAGAATTCAAGCTCAACCAATCACCATCCCTTAGGTTTTCAATTTTCCAAATATTTATACCAGCACTCTATAATGCCACCTCTAACTTATTCAAGACAATGGCTGGGTGCTGTTAAGAATAAGAATGATTACAAGTACTACAGAAAAGAAACTGAAGCTCGATAAATAAACAAAATCGTCAAACACTCTCTAACCTTGTCACTTTGAGGGGGCCCTAACCACATTATGCTCCCCCTCCTTGGCATGAATTGGGGTTTCCCCTAACTCAGGGACTATAAACAGAGACAAGCAGCTCACCTTAAAGCATCTTGGACACTTTAAGCAGTGAAAGGAGAAAACAAGCTGAGAAAGCACATCCAGCAACTCCCCAGTCATAGCAACCTAAACTTTCACTGTTCACATTTTTTTTAAAGACACAAGTATAGGAAATATATTTTCCCAATTAGACCACACAGTTCAAAGAAACCTGAACCAAGCGGAACTTCATTATAATGCCAACCTTAGGATTGTAAAGCCCCCAAAGCAAAGGTAAATTTTGTTGCCAAAATGCAACAAAGTTAAAAATTAAGAAAACTACATATAAATTAAAAACAGGGTTTCCCTTAAAAAAAAAAAAAAGTAAGAAACGCAAAATGGTATACGCGCGAGCTGAGCCCCTTTGAGAAGTCCTGGGACAGGTGCTCCTTGAAAGGGCCCTTTTCCCCTCTCCAAGTTGCCCCAGGAGGGGGCATCAGCACCATGAAGGTAAACGGAAGTGAACTTGGCAAAGCTACCAAACAAAACACCCCCTCCCCCCCTCAACTCCCGGCCCCTCTGGGCCTCGGCCTCCTACACGTGCGACAGGGACACCTGCTTGTGGTAGGCGGCGGCCGCGGCGGCGGCTGTGGGGGGGCCCGGCGGCCCGGTCCTGCCGGTGAGCGCGGCGCTCGCGTCATAGTCCCCGGCAGCGGTGGCGCCGCCGCTCTTGTGGCCCCGCCGCGGGCGGCAGCAGCAGCGGCTCGTGAAGCGCCGCCACGACTCCACAGTCTTGCCGGACCAAATCCAGACGCCCGACGTGATGCCCACCACGAGGCACATGAAGTACTTGAGCATGAGCACCCAGTACTCCGGCTTGGCGCGCGGCTGGCCGGCGTCGGGGCCCGGGCACGCGCAGGTGAGCGCCGCCTCCCAGCTCTCGCGATAGTGCTGCTCGTACAGGTAGCAGGCCACCACGATGCTCGCCGGCACCGTGTAGAGCAGCGTGAAGATGCCGATGCGGATCATCAGCTTCTCCAGCTTGTCCGTCTTGGTGCCGCCCTGCTTGATGACGCTGCGGATGCGGAAGAGCGACACGAAGCCCGCCAGGAGGAAGAGGGTGCCCACCAGCAGATAGAGCACCAGCGGGCCCAGCACGAAGCCGCGGAGCGAGTTCAGGTTCTGGTTGCCCACGTAGCAGATGCCGGCCACCGGGTCCCCGTCCACCGAGCTCAGCGCCAGCGCCGTGATGGACTTGACGCTGGGGATGAGCCACGCGGCCAGGTGGAAGTACTGTGCGTAGCCGGCGATGGCCTCGTTGCCCCACTTCATGCCAGCTGCCAAGAACCAGGTGAGCGACAGGATGACCCACCAGATGGAGCTGGCCATCCCAAAGAAGTAGACCAGCAGGAAGACGACAGTGCACAGCGCAGGGCCTGTTGTCTCGTAGTGAATGTGGCTATGCTCGCGGCTGCAGGCGACGCTGGCATGGCCCACCACCAGGCGCACCAGGAAGCCCAGCGACACGCACAAGTAGCAGGCAGACAGGAAGATGATGGGGCGCTCAGGGTAGCGGAAGCGTTCCATGTCTATTAGGAAGGTGGCCACCGTGGTGGAGGTGGAGATGAAGCACAGCACAGACCACAGGCCAATCCAGAAGGTGGCGAACGTGCGCTCGTCGGGGCTGAAGGAGGGCTGGTAGCAGGGCACCGCGCAGTTGGGCACCTGGCCCGTGCGCACCTTGTTGTAGAGTGGGTGCGACTCCTTCAGAATGGGCACGAAGGGCTCGCGGCACTTGCACACCGACGGGCCCCCGGCGGCGCACTCGCCCCCCGAGGCTGGAGCCCCTGCTGGGCCTGGGAGGGTGGGTTTGGCCGGGAAGGGCCTGGGGGGCGCCGTGGTGGCCTCGCTGCGGTTGTAATCCATGCAAAGGACCTCGGCGTCGCGGCCCAGCACCGGGAGGCGGTCGCAGCTCATGCGCTCCGGCCAGGCGAAGCCGTACTGCCGCATGAGCGGCGAGCAGCCGGCCTTGGCGCGCTCGCACACCGAGCGGCAGGGCGGCAGCGGCTTGTGGTAGTCCGGCAGGCAGATGGGCGTGTACATGGAGCACAGGAAGAAGCGCAGGTCCGGCGAGCAGTGGATCTCCACCAGCGGCCAGAACTGGTGCACCTCCAGGCCAGCCTCGTCCTGCGTGTCGTGGTTGAACTGGTTGGGCATGTGCGTCAGGTTGTAGCCGATGCCGCGGCACATGGGCACTGTGATTTCCTGGCACACGGGGGCCTTGGAGGCAGCCGCCGCCCGGCCCGCCAGCTGCGCCAGGAGCAGCAGCAGCAACGAGGGCGGTGCGGCCGGGTCAGGCCGAGCCATAGCCCCCTCCCTACCCTCGCCTCGCCTGCCGCAGCCCGCGCGGGGCCCACGCAGCCAGGGGAAACCCGGCCGGCCTTTCCGCCGACTTGTGTGTGGCGCCGGGGCTGGCAACCTGTTGGTTTCTTTTTCTCTTAAATCCGTCCAAAGAAAAAATGTTTCGGGAAGGCGCTGCCTCGGCAGGCAGCGCTCAGCTCTTCTCCAGATAGGGTGGGGGGGGACGGTTAGGGCTCCGATTCCAGGGAGAGTACTCTTTAAAAAAGAAGCTGGGGGGAGAAGAAAAATTGCAACCACTCCCAATTAGAGGCGAGTCAACGGCACAGTCCCCGCAAGCGCTCTCCAAATCTCTAAGTTAACGTCTCTCCGTTCCTTCCCCTCCACCTCCGGGAACCAAACTACTGACTCCCAGCCCATCCCCAGCCCCCCACCTCCCTCCACGCTGGGCCCTCCGGGCTGTACCCCGGGGTCAGAAAGCTCAGCCGCCTGGAAAAGGGCGGAGGAACGGGGAAAAGAACGGGGAGAAAAGGGAAGGCGCGGGCTCTCACCTTCGCGGATCCCGAAAGAAGCAGATAGTCGGCCCCCAGCCTGGGTTCTCCGACCCCGGGACGCTCGCTCAGAAATGCGACTCAGAGACGGGCTGGCACCCGGAAAGTTTGGCGATAGGCTGGGTAATCCGAGACGCGGCACATGGCAGCAGGTGGGGGCGTCTCAGACAGGGGGTCGCACCCTGAACGTGGTCGCCGCAGGCTGGTCACTCGCCCTCTCCTCCTCCGGGGCCCCCCGCATGATCCGAGCGGGGCAGAGCAGGAGCAGGCCGTGCGTTCCACCCGGGGCCGGGAGCCGGACTAAGGGCGAGCGCGCCTGGCAGCACCTGGGCGAGAAGAAGGCGGTGTGCGGCCCCGAGGGGATCCCGCTGCCTCAGTGCACCGCGAGCAGCCGGCGCTGGCCCCGCCGGCACTGCATGGTGCTAGCCCGCCGCCGCGTCCAGCCCGCTGCTCGCCTCCTCCCCTGCAGGGGGCTCCGCGCTCCAGCGGACGCCTGGGGGCGGTGGCGGCGCTCCCGGGACGCGCCCGGCTCGGCTCCTCCCCGCGCTCTCTCACTCTTTCGCCCACCTCCGGCGGGTACAGAACCGCGCGCGGCGGCGACAGCACCGCGGACACCGACGCGAGCTGACTGGCCTGTCCCGCCCCGCCCGGGTCACCTGCCTCTAAAGCCCGCCGGGAGGCTCCGCCCCTTCCCCGCCCCCTCGCGCCGGGGCTCGGTTGGTGGGCCGCCCCGCCACGTTCTCCGCGCGTCCCCGCCCATTGCCCCGCGGGCTCGGCCTCTCCCCCTGCGCCCTCCGGCCCCGCCCGGAGCCGGCCCGCGGCGAGCGCGGGCCAATAGCGGGCGGGAAAGCGATGGGGGGCGGGGAGAATGCTAATCGCTCCTTCTTGAGACCCCAGGCGGGAAACCTTTGCTGGAAGTCCCTACCCACTTCTCCGCGGTGGCCCACGGGTGTGGGGCTCGCCGTCCTGTCATAGACTAGCTCATGAGCCCTCGCTTCCAGGGCCCCACCAGCTCTCTCTGCAGCTAACAATCCTTAGCTTTCAGCGCTCGTTTAAAAGAACTGCTCGAAGGATCATTCTTAGCCGTGGCACCTGCCTCCGCTCTGCGCTGTCCTCGTACCAGGTGAGCTCACGCTGCGAAGAGCGAAGGCTTCTTGAGCCACTACTGTATGTCAGCGCGTTAATCGTTCGTATGTCAGATCTTCACAGTTCTGTGACACAGGTACTCCCTACACAGGTGAAGGAGCGAAGGTTTTAAAACTTGACCGAGGCAACCGAGCTAGTACTTTCCCAAGAAAGCCGCAACAGAGGCAATCTTCAGCCCGGTACTCCGAGCTCCTGGCACACAGTAGGCGCTCAAACGGCAACTCGGTATTCGAACCCACGCAGCTACATCCCAGTGTTAACCCCCACCCACCCCAGCCATGCATTCTCCGTATCCCCCGGTCTTCAACCTTTACTTTAGCATGTCGTCACCAAATCTTACTGCGGTAAGAACGTGATTTTCTTCCAGTCTTAGGAAGACTCGAGAGATGGTGTAGCCCTTTATCAGTCGAAGTTTAAAATCCCAGCCAGTCCCGAAGTCTCCTGCAGGGAGAAGCGGCCGTGGCTCCCGGCTGGGTAATGGGAGGACGCCTGCCCCCCACCCCCCACCCCCGGGGACTGCCTGCTGTTGAGCCGAGCTCCCGCGCGCCTCTGGGGAGCCAGGTCGCAGGGAGCAGCCCCGGCCGGCGAGAAGACCCGCTGGGTGCCCCCGCTGCTGGAAAACACAGTGGCGCTCTCCAAATAGGTTATTATGCTGCAAGTTTTAAATGTCCTAAAAATGCCTCTTTTCTACGTGTTCTAATTAGGTTGGAAGACTGAGGTGTTTAGCATTCTTGAAATTCATTCACACACTTACCAAGAAGGTTTGAATTGTTTCCCGCTCCCCCACCCCTTCCTTCCCCTGGGAAGAAGGCGGAAAAAAAAGCGGGAGGGCCTGGGTACTTCAGGGAGTCAGGACTGGGCTAAGCAGCTGAGATAGATAGACCAGAGTCATTGTCGGTCTCCTGTCCTGGATCCTGTTTGTACAGAGACTGAATTGAAGAATAACCTTCTCCCTCTTGCTCATCAGCAAGGCTTTGTGGACAATAATGAAGAATATGTGCATTAATCCCAGACTCAAAGTTTAAAAGAATAAATACAATTGTTTCACAAGCATCAAAACTATGAATAAATATGTTTACAATGCACCTTACATCTTTCAGTCCCTGAAATTCTACAGGTGTTCATATTTAACCTCTTTTGTGTTTTGGAAACAATTGGCACTCTGGGTCAGCAAACATCCCAGGGTTGAAAGTAGTGGGAGTTGAAAAGCTATGGAATAGCAATCAAAAAGAAAGGGAAACCCTTAGTGGAAAGTATGTGCAGACTGTGAACATGCCAAGCAAGTGCTGTCTCATTCTGTGCCCTTTATGCAACGTGTGTATTATTGGGGATGGACAAGTGGTGGCTAATAATAAAAATTATTTGAAGTTGGAGAATGTTAATCACTCAGGCTGGAATTTGGCCAGAATACTTGTGTTATTTCATTTGGTTCTGATTCAAACAGTGTTATCCACTGGTCTGTAAACCTCTCTCCTCTTAATCAAGAGCAAAATGTTATTTTTGCTTGGAGGTCTCTAATAATGGTAGTAATAACAGCAGAAGACTTTCCCAAAAGAGACTTATTTTGTATTGTGTAGTTTCTTGGTATCATTTAAATTTTTGGCTTTTTACATATATTACTTCAATTTAAAAGCAGTTTAAAATATGCTGATTGTTTCACATGTGTTAGACAGGCTGCTAAGTAATTCATTTACATTACCTCATTGAACCCCTCACAACAATCAGAGGGAACCCGGAATCATAGCAGCTTGCTTGAGGTTGCCTATCTAGCCCATTGAAAGGATAGAAATCAAAATGTTCTCCTGAGTCATAATTTATTATTCAACAAGCTGGAAAAGACTACATGATCTTTTAAAGGTGCAGTTTGTTAGCACCTAGAACGTTGCCAAGCATTCTCTTCTATTCATTGACCCATCTGTCCTTTCATCTAGCCATTCATCTATCCATCCATCCATCCATCCATCCATCCATCCAACCATCCATCCAAGAGGCCAAATTTCTGAGTTGAAGACACAGCTGCCATGTTAAAGAGGTTTCTACAAAGCCAAATTCATGAAATTCAATTTAAATTACTGTCTGAGTTATGTTTATTAACTGATGAAAATACAGAGGACATTGCTAAACATTCCACCAAAGAAGTGTGTAATGTTCCCAAAGTTTCGAGGTACTGGCTTTGGATTTGGTTATCAGGGAATAGTTGGAGCATTTTTAATATTACTAGGTTTGTGTTCCTTCTATGAGTATTATTCGGTTGAGACACTTGAGAGTTCAATGCTTTAGGAAAGATAGGTAGACTTTGTGTACTCTTCAGTGTCTTTGTAATCAAGCCTGGAACAGTATGCTGCACATAGAGCCCTCAATAAATATTTATGAAATAAACTGGGGTGCCTGGGTGGCTCAGTGGCTTAAAGCCTCTGCCTTCAGCTCAGGTCATGGTCTCCGAGTCCTGGGATCGAGCCCCACATCAGGCTCTCTGCTCAGCGGGGAGCCTGCTTCCCCCTCTCTCTCTGCCTGCCTCTCTGCCTACTTGTGATCTCTGTCTGTCAAATAAATAAAATCTTTTTAAAAAATTTATGAAATAAATGGATGAGTGACTGACAACATGAGTGAGATTAACTTTCTAAATTTTAGTAACTGGCATTGAATCCCTATGACCTCTGTCTGTGAGGTTGACCATAACCTGTTAAACGCAGCATGAGTCCAAACCTTGTCTCTGCCTTTACTAGTCGAACCACCTAACAGCTCCAAGTGCTCTTTCCTTCCCTGTAAAATGAGATACAAATAGAGTTGTAGTGAGGGGTGAGTGAATTGATACGGTGGAGTGATTAGACCCTCGTCTAGTACCTGGTAGCTATGTAATAGGTCTTAGCCATTATTATTAGTTTCTACTATGGTTTATTCTACTTTTCTATTTTCCCAATCTTCTATATTTTCTTGTGTATATTAGTTTAATATTGGGGGAAAAGTTACACTTTTTAGATGTATTTTATGTATGAGCACACTCTCAGCTGTTACCAGCTATCTCCGGTACTTAGACATTAGCTAAATTTTTGCCAAAGCAGGGATCATTTCACTTGCCCTGAATCCAAGCGCGACCAGCCGATGAGTGTGCGAACATGCACAGGGCTGGCCCAGGAGAGACCCCGCCAGCCGACATGAATCCCACACAGGTGTTTCCAGACTAGCTCCTTACCCATCCTAGCACATTTCTGATCACTTCTCTTAGCAGATCAGACACTTCTAGATGAGAAACCACGTTATTGACCAGAAGATTAACAGGATGAGTCCTTTCTCCATGTGCATAATGAGAGTGTCTTGTTCACATTATAAGTGGAATAATTCAATGACAATCTTTAGTCCTTCCTCCTCCTCCAATGGTGGGGATTATAGCAAAGTAAAAGCTTTCTCTGCCCCCAGAGGAAATGGAGAAGTACTAATCTTTCCCACATTGAACCGTGGCTCTCAGCAGCAATTATGAGCATGTAGGGGAGTTTTAAGAAGCACTGATGCTTGGGCCCTATTAAATAAAAATCTCTAATTCGGGGACTTCTGAGATCTTGTTATTTTGGTTTTGTTTGTTTATTTATTTTTGCTGCTTTGTTTTTAACTCTCCAGGTGATCCTGATTTTCGGCTAGGGTCAAGAACGACTGACATAGATGGTTCTGTTACCTCCTCAGTGTCCCCTCCCAAGCTCATACCCAGTGGGATCTTCTGCAGAAGGGGTTAATCACATCCGTATGTAAATGGAACTCCTCGGGAGAAAGTGCCATCTAATTGCATGTGAGTCTGCCTGGGCTGTAGGCAAAACTGGGTGAAGCAAGAGGACTGTGATTTAGTGATGAGACCCTTAACAGCAGTGAGGACTATAATAACATTTTTACATATATAATCTCTTTTACCCCCAGGAAACTTGTACGGCTGATATTATTATTTCCATCTGATAGATGAAACTGAAGTTAGACAAGGAACTTGTTCTATAAGATTACACACCTTCCGACTTAGATTTTCCCAACTCCAAAGCCTCTGCTGCCATCAACTGCAGACCGCAAGTTAAGCCCAGCAGAGACGGTCCAGAGAACCACCAGAAGGTAAATCTTGAGATAAGCAAGTTCCCTTGTTCCTTTGCACCCCTCTCCTGGGGACCAGGATGAATCTTCAACTCTGGGGTGGTCTCTTATGGAGGGGCGCCGATGTGTGAAAACACGGAGGGCTCTGCCTTCATCTAGAATCCAGTGTGAATTGAGAGCCAACTTGTTCTTTGGGCTTTGCAGCCTAGGCATAAGGTGGGATGCCCTTTAGACTAGAACCTTCCTGGTACCTTGGCAGAAGAAACTCTGGTTCAGTAAATACTGATGGGGCACATGCTGTGGGCCAAGCATACGTGCCAGGGTACAAGGATGAGGAGGTGTGGACTTTCTAGGTAGGGCATGGTGGAAGCACAACAACATCCCGACCTGGTAGCTCAGGGAAGCCCCAGGC